CCCCTGCCCGAGCTGAATTATTGAGCTGTAACTTTGCTGGACTGGGAGCCGAGTGTCTTGCAAGTAGAGGCTTGTGCGGTGTGACTTTGTTTTTTCCGAGTGCAGTTAGACTGAAGTGGGATGTTGCTGCATGTGTGCCTATACGAACTGATTTCTATAGATCTCCCTTTTTTTGGTTAATGTTGTCCAATAAAGGTATGGATTCAATAATTCTTTTAGATTACCAATAAATGACAGTAGAAAACAACACTATGTGATGAACTAATTCTTCAAACCACAAGTTATTTCAGATATGTCTGAGTCAGCTTTATACGGGTCATCTCATTGTATGTTTCTGTGTGTTTCTTTCTGCTGCATCCTTTATGAGGCAGAAGGAAGGGTCTAGAGAAGACTATTGCACAGAAAGGGATGCTTGTATGTTAAACTTTTTTTGCTGCGTAATGTTAATCTGTATGTACTTATTGTTGAGGTATTTCCATTTAAAGTTAGTTACTGGGCATGTGTCAACAGATATTGTGCCCTCTCCTTATTTTTTTTCTCCTCAGTGTATCCGTGGTGTCTCAACAAGCAGACTGTGCAAACAGCTACAACACAAATCATGACTAAAGCTTTGTCATACAGACCTGAATTAGATTTAAAGTACTTAGCTTGGATATTATTCCCACGGTGTGGGCTAGCACCCATTTATGTGTTGCAACTTCTGCTTATTCTTTTGCAACTTGAGCTGACCTGCCACAGCTATGCTGTCACTAGTAATACCTTGTTGTCTGGTTTTTAAACTGCAGTATGGGTATAGCAGCTCTTGATGCATTTGAGTTTTGCAACACAATGCAGTAACAGCATGGGAGAGAGACTGTGTACAGTTCTTTCAGTAACAGATACAATTTCTGGCCATGACTAGATCTTCATTAAGACATATAGCTAATATTTATTGTCTTGCAATTAAGGCCTATGCTAAGAGCCTTTCAATGTATAGAAAGAAGTACGTGTTACATTGTAGTTCAATCTAGGGCTTTATTCTCAGACTTTCTGATGTATCAGCAAGGTGTTGAGATGAGGAAGCTGGCAAGCATGTGCCTCCACAGGGACCTGGCAGTCACAGGAGCTGCTGCTTCTAGCTGAGACCAGTGCAGGCTTCACTTGAGTGTGAAGTCAAGCAAATTAACAGCCTGGCTAATTGCTGCTTCTCTTTCCAAGTCAAGCTGTTATCATGGAGAGCCTGGCTTCTCAGAGTGACTCTCTGGTTCAGGTTGCAGGGACCTAGAAGAAGGCTGTGCTTGAATGTCCGCTTCTTTCTCCTCTCTGGTAAAGGTAATGTGTTGGAGGGGCTGTCCTAGGCTCTGTCCTGCAAACATGTGTGTGTTTTAATCAGCGTGGTTCAGTGCTAACCTGTTCAGCTCTGAACTGGAACAGAAGCAGCTTATGTAGCAGTTTTCTGTTCTCAAGCGAAAAGGGAAATAGCAGGATACCAGCTGAGACAGAGACCTACCAGAACACTTCTGTTTAATCTTCTTCTTGGTTTGACTTGAGGAAGCTTAAGTCATCAGACTACTGATGGAAATAGAGGTAGCATCTAATGATTCCCTTTCCAGCCATTTACAGAGCATAAAGGCCTGAACCCTTGCTTTCCTTGGCACATTGACCTTGTTCTTTGTGGTTAATCTCAGAATTGTGCCTCTGAGGATGTGGAGGCGACTTGCAGTGCTAACTAGGAAGTGGCATGACCCAGACATTAGGCACTGTGGTAACTGGCAGAGATTCAGAGTGCAAATGTGGGCTTGGACCTAGTCTGAACACCTGCTGCATCCTTGCTCAGTGAATATTTAGTGACTTAAAACATGTATTAGTACTGTCTTTTCTTGGGTCATATAGGGTACATGTGCAAAGAGACTGCAAACAAGGTATATGCAGCTTAAAAGTATAAACCAATTATTTTTGGCATGTGCACACAAGATTCCTAGGATGTAGTGACCTATCAGCCTAAGTGTTCCTGCACTTCAGTGAGATGCCTAAAAAGTCTTTGCTGGCCAGTCAAGCATCAGTCAGGAGAGAAAGGTTGGTATCTGCTGCTCCCTGGAATGAATCTTCTGTGCCAACTACCTGCTGGCACTACCAAAACAGGCTGACTTGCTGCTTTTTTTCTTCAGGGTGTCACAGCTTTCCACACTGATATTTTTTCTTTTGAATCTTTGAGCTACTAACTATCCTACTTAAGTCTGAAATTTCACCTTTCTTATCTTGCATTCTCTCTGCACTGTAGCTTTTCTTACAGTGCTCTCAACTTATCTGTTCCATGGCAATTTGAGTCAAGTATATACAGCTGTACCGTATCGCAGATGGGCCATGAGTCCTTGAAACGGCTGAACCTCTGAGAGGTGCAGAGGAGGACGCAGGTGACAGGAGAGAGACAGGTACACAATCTTTCTGGAAAATTAAGCTGACTTCTAGTTGGAAAAACTAGACCTGCAGAGAGCAATTGTTGAAAGCACTATAACTTAAATATGGTGGTGTTTTCCTTTGTGGTTGGAGAACATTAAAGCTTTCCTCTCTGGAAGCCAGAGTTTAATTACACAGTTCTACAATAAAATCATAACTCTGAATCTGTTAGATAAAGCGCCAAACGCTGTTTCCAGAAGTTTCATACTGAATCTGCACTGTTGGTATATGGTGTGAAAGAAGATATCTGACCAGAAAGATGTTTTATTTTTAAATTCTTTTTATATCTGGTGAATTCCTGCACAAGTTTATTGTAAACATGGACGTGTATATATAAATAAGAGCTTTTGCATTAGTGTAATACAAATACTTTTATTTCTGTCATTTCTCTTGTTTACCAAACCAAGGTAAACAAAATGTTTGTTTTAGAATTGTAGTTTTTAGTGTCTCAATTTCAGAACTCTTACACATCAGCAGTTGTTGGCTTAAAAATTGGCTCTGTTGCTTGCTTCTCTTGTATTCTTAATGTTTTGTGCCTGTCCTGAAATCTGTATTGTGAATCAATAGTGCATGTAAAATCTAGATGGAGTAAATAGATTTATTGGAATTACTAATGTGCTTTGGTGACCAGCATGTGATTGTTGGTGTAAAAGACTAGGAGAGGTCCAGGAAGCCATACTAATACTGCTTGGAAAAAGTTCAGGGTGTTCCTTATGTTCTTTACTAAAATAAACAATAGCAGAACAACAAAATGAGAATCTGAATATTGTGTGATGTAAGCAGGGAAAAGAAACTTGAGTGAATGGTTGCTTAATGTATTGGAGAGAACCATAGTGAGGAACAACTAACATGGTGACTAAATTGGAAACAAACTTCTGGAAAGAAAATTGAAGTAGTTTATGAAATTGGTAGAAATTGGAGTCTGCCAAGGACCTTGAGGCATAGCCCAACCTCCTGTAGTGTGTGCTGTGTAGGCTGGAGTTTCAGCTTTTGATTGCTGTTCATAGCACTGTTTGAGAAATGTGGCCCCTTGTTCTGCTGCCGCTGCTTGGCTGTTCAGACTCATGAATTCCTGAGTAATTTTTATCAAGTACCTGTCTAACCCGCTACTAAAAAGCTCTGGTTATGAAAGATCTGCAGTCTGCATAGTTGGTCCTTCCTAGTTTAACTTTCTTTGCCCATGAATTGTTTTTCCTTAAGTACTACACTGATCTGTTTCTGTGCTATAATTCAAGCCAGCAGTGATTATTCTGTACCTCATGGACATGAGAGTGTATAATTGCTACTTTCTGTTTTTTTCCCCAGGAAGTCTCTAAGCATCTGAAGATACTTGTAACCTTTCCTTGTTTCTAATTGCTCATCTAACATTGTGAAATGCTCTCTTACTGGTGACTTACACTTGTATGCAGATACTGCAGAGCACTTGATTCGCACAAGAGTTGAACTATGTTTTTAGTGAAAAAAACTTAGAAGATGAACTACAGCTTAATTGGAGGAATGAAATGAGTTCTTAAATGTAGCAAGGTTGCTTTATATACACCAAAAAGTTAGTCATCGTCAAGTCAAATGTTCCCAATGCATAAAATTTCACTTATAAATTGAATCAATTCATTTTGTTGTAGTTTCTTATGAAAAAGAAGACATTGTAGTTGGTAAACCACCTCATCCTGATGTTAAAAGACATGCAGAGTTTTCTTGCTTTTGGCAAAAGCATGAAAGACTTATGAGCTAATAAAGTATTTTCTATCTGCAGCTTTGTCACTTATTTATAGAATGCAGCTAAGCTGAACCCAACTGCACTGAAGCTTTGGATGGATGAGCAAAATTAGGGATATTTTAGGATCCTCTGTTATTAAACAAAAAACAAAGAGCTATTGAAAGTCCCAAAGCAAACATAAATCATCACCATGGCCTCTTGCTGATGATACTCAGTATCTTAGTAGCAGATGGATTGCATATATGTGTTGTGCTCTTGCACTTCAAAAGCATCACTAGCTGACATACAGTTTCTTTGTTAACTCATCTTCTGCCCATCCTGGGGAAATATTGATGTCCTCTGCAGTCTTGCTACATGCAAGGCAAGTGTAATAGGAAGTTTTCATATCAAAAGAGCTGTTTTCATCAGTTCAGTACTTTCCATTGACTTCCATTACTTTCAGCTAGTATTTTGATTGAATTTGACTTAATCTATTGAGCACCAATAGTAATCTTCCAGACAACATTCAATAGAAAATTTAGGACTGTTGTTACTGAAAAATGGAGGATTTAGCTGTCTTTATACAGAGCTTCTTATATGTAGACAGTGGGTACAGTATTAACTTTCAGAATTTGTTTTCTAGGACATTTTTCCTACAAGTTTTAATTCTGATCAGTTTTCTATTGTGAGGGCTTCTGGATTCTTCTTCCCTGCCATCTTCCTCCTCTGTAATTGTAAACACATACGTGAGTGTTTCTTGTACCATCTAGCTAGTTATCTATATTGATTAGGAATGTGGTGGCTGAGGTTTTAGTAAGCCAACAAGTTCCACATCTTCTCTTTCAAAAATTAGGTTTTTGATACTTACAGTGTGAAATTCTGTATCCCGTTTGATTCAAATACCCATCTGTGTTTGTGTATTTCTCATGTACTTTTCTCTTGACCTTCTTTTACACAACATAATTTGAAGTTTCTATTTCTGGATTGCTTTTGTAGGCTGTCATCAACACTGGTATCAGTGTTGGCAGAATAATAAACATCCTTAACTGCAAACTAGAACTGAAACTTCCTGTGACCATCTCCTCCTTGAGACTGGTTTAGCGCTGGAGAACCTCTTGACGTAGAGAACTGAAGTTATTTCTGTTAGTTCCTTTAACACCTTGCAACAACATCTGGAAAGAAGAGAGACAAGAATCCCATTTCACAATAGTTCAGTTTGGTGTGCATTTTAAGTCTATGACTCCTCCAGGTTGTTTTCATTACATCTAGGCAGACTGATGATCTGCTTAAGATAGATTAAGTAGAAGTAATTGTAAGTCCAGAATAAGAAAGAAATATTTTGGAAGAGTTTTAGATCTCTTGCTATGGAAAATTACATTGATTCAGCAGAACTCACCTACGTTGCCCGAAGTCATAGCATTGGTTCCCCAGAATCCTAATATTAAAAAAAAAAATAAAAAAATCTGTGTAGGTTACTAGGTGCTAAATAATCTTTGAGTTAGCGATTGGTAGGCTTTGATTCATGGTAAGTTGAAATAAGGTCACTGGAAGTCATTGGAACCAACAGCCAAGGACAACTATTGAGCTGTTGTCCTTTTCTGTAGTGGTGCTGTATCAACAAAGGTCTTGAGTCAGACTGTGGTTAAGAAGAAAACCTTCAGAAACTAATTTCTGTCTGTGAATTTGTCTTGTGTCCATTCCTATGCCCTCAGGTCCATCAGGGATGAATCGTCTGGCTTTGGCTCTAAACAAACCGTTAAGTTGTGTCATAGGATTGGCTCCCATGGAGTTATGACACTGCCAAAATAGTTGAACTGAGTGTTGCTGCTGCATTTTTGTTCTGCAGTCAGCTTTAACTATTTGTATAGGAAAGGACCTGAAAAATGTCTGTGGGTTTTGAGAGGGAAGGACTTTGTGGAGGAGAACACTCAGGAGTCCAACTTGCCAGGAAGAGCTCTTCTCCCCTTCTCCTACCCCTAAAATCTTCATGCATGGGTATAGGCAGATAGGAAAACTGCAGTTTTCTCAGAAAAGTAAGACTGTGTCTTTGGGTGTTTTAAGCAGCAGTAGCTGGTGGGATAGTCCCAGTCTGCTGTTCTTTCATGTTTTCCTCCCTCTCTCCCTTAGCTGATGTTCAGAGGCAACCATGCTCAGGTGCCGTTCGCCTTTTCTTTCCTACTAGAAAAAATAATAATCTGTTTGTTCATCCTGGCTTCTGTGTAATTTTTTTTGTTAGGCCAGCAGTCATCCAACATCTTTGGTCTGGTTGAGAAGGTGCCCAGAGCATCCTGTAACATGAGCAGTGGATATGGGTGTCATCCTGATATTGGTGTTTGACTCGCTGTTATGGTTTGAATCTAGTGGACTGACAGGCTGCCTCTGAGGCTGCCATCTTGTTTAATGGTAGAAATAAATGAGTTGTTACCCCAAACCATACTGAATAAGGAGATTAAAGATTGTTCTTGCAAAGCCAGACCTTACTCCAGCAGATGTCACATCTGACCTGGAGCTGCTTAGAGACATGCTTAAACTCTGTTCCTTTGCTGAAGTGGCTGTCGGCCTGGGTGGCATTGGAGACTTGTTAACAAGGGTGCCAAATGTCCAAAGTGTATCTTAAGAGTTTGCTGTCTTAGGAGTCTTGCAGTACTGCACCTATGCCTAGTTCTTGTCATCAAAATAACTTTGTTTCCAAAACCTGTGGTATACTTGCTTGTATTTTTTCTTCCATGCTTCTACAAAACACTCCTCTTCAGAGGTTTTCTGTTGACTTGCTATTTTGGTGGAAGGCTACTGGAATCTTAGCTGATGCCCACATGGCTTTTCTTTGGTGAATAATTATCTATTACAGTTTGTACCTTATTTATAAGCAGCAGAAGACCTTAAATATAGATGTATGGTAGGAATATACCTGAAGGTCCTTGTTATTATCGTACTTTACTAAACAAAGAGATAGTTTTGTAGTTCAACTGTGATGGGTGTCTGAATATTGCCTTGTCTCTTCAATGATTTTATGTTTGTTTCTTTCTTATAGCTTCTCTCCTGATGCCTTAACCTTCAGTGTCTTCTTATGGTCAAATATAGTAACTTGAAAAAATATACTCAGAGTTTCTGCTTTGCATAAACATTCCATGGACTCAGAGCTTCTGTTTCAAAGCTTTGCTGAATTGTATGGGTAAAATTTATCTTGTACTCTAGGAATAAGAGTTGAAGTGCTTGGTCTTTCATCTTTCATATCGAATAATTGGCTATCGTAGTAAAATATTTGCTTGAGGGTGTTTTGTTTCACCATTTCTAATCCAGTTTGGACAAATTAATTCTTTCCATATATTACACACTTTTGTTGCATAATAGAAATAAAAACTGTTTTCTCTTTTTTCTAAAAGGCTTATAACAAAAAGAAAAAGGAAACATGGGGCGTCTGTATCTTTATTGTAGCAGTTGATCTGGATGAAATTACATTCACTTTCACAGAGCTTCTGAAAAGTATAAGCATAAGGTAAGTGAATTTAAGTTGTAAATTTAGATTTCAACAGTTAACTTGTCAACATTTTTATAAGGAGAATGTTTATAAAGTATTGGATATCTTTGTGCATATCAGGCTAGCTGATTTTAAAGTGAAGGTTACTTACGGAAATTCTGAACTTTTCAGTAAACTTGGAGTCTTGCTATCATTTTAGCTGAGGGAGCAGTGATACTTGCTTGATTCACCTGTGACTGGCTTTGTTTGTATCACAGAGCTGATTCTTGTTCTTGCTCAACATAAAGTCTTCATAAATTTAACTTGGTGTAAATTACACTTAAAATATTTTCCTTTCTTACCCTGTATCGAGATTTTCTAGAAAACCCTTTTTCCAGGGTTAGGCTTAGCCTAAATCAAGAAGTGGAAAAAATTATTCCTCTTCAAATAGTTTGCCAGCATGCTGCTTTTTTCAAAAATTTTAATGCCAGTCTAAATTTTGTAATTCTGTACGTGCTTTTTTCTAGGGGACTGTTACTATCATATTGTATATTCACTAAATCCATAATACAGAAATTAAGATTACAGAACAATATCTGTTTATAAGGTTAATTTAGGCAGCAACAGCTGTAGGCATACATTGTGTTAAATTCCTCTAAGGAAAGAATTCCAGTGCCATCTGCCTAATAACTGTGCCGTGTGTCAAAAGCATGTGAAAAAGCAGAGCCTTTGGATGCTCTGGGGCAGGAGGCTAAGGCAGAACACTGGGCACATCGTGGTAATGGCCCCAGACTTGGGCCAGAATATCCTTTTCCTGGAAGTAATCTGTTATAATTAGACTTTTCCATGCCTCTTCTGCCTTGCATCATCTCCCAGAGCAGTGGTTAGGACCTATGTTTCAACTTAATCTCTTCAGTCTTGACTGACTTGGAACCATGTGGATGAAATCTAATTGCATTTGAGCAGCAATGTTCAGTGTGTTCCACCCGAGTACAGACCTACTTGTGCTGCAAACAGAAAGAGACTTTTTCCCTTAGGGTTTCAAAGAGTAAGCTATTACTCTGCTGATTTTTATTGTAGCAGTACTGAATTGCTTGTTAGCCCTGGGCTTTTTGTCAGCTACAATGTCAATCTGGCAAGGATTTCTACCAGTCGTCTTATCCTCTACTACCAATCATCTTATCCTCTAGAGCCACACAGATATATTGGAAAGGTTTTTCATTCCTCAGTATAAGGATTACCAAATGAACTTGATTGTTTTTATGTTTTGTTTTTTAATCTGACACAGATAAAAAAATCTCTCAGAATCCTATATTCTGATAAAGGATCAAGATATAGTTGAAATAGCTGAATATATTTGATAGCTTCCTCCTCAGTTTTTAGTAATCTGCTCATTTTGATTATGAACAGAATAACAAAATGCTTTCTTGGTGGCCATGACATTACATGGATGAGTAGGGAAAACTTTGGTCCCCTGCATAATTTCCTAAGGGTGGGGCTGTCCTTGCCCCTGGACCATGTAATATGGAATTACATATAATTCAATGCATTCATTTCAGTTTTCATTTCTAGGTCACTTTAGCATGGATGGAACCAAGAGCAGTAAGAACACTTCTAAAGTAGAACTTCTAGCTAGAGCAGAAGAGTTGAGATGTATGTGTTGGATATTTGTGGTTTTGCTGGCAGAGCAAGGAAGAAAGATGTCTAGTTAGCAAATTCTGACTTCCAAAGATACCTGTGTTTGCCAAGAAAATTGTCTTTCTGTAGTGGAGCCCATATTGTGAGACACCTCTGCTACCTTGTTGAGCAGTTTTCCTATATCTGGAAAATGTAAAGGTGGTATATTGGGCTCATGGCAAGCAAGTATTTTCCAAAGCAAGGTGCTCAGTCACTCCTAGTTGTAAGAGTATGGTGGAGTCTGGTGAAGTATGGCAGTGGGTTTTGGGGTTTTTAGAGAGCTGCTGCATAATGGTTATTCTCAGTTATGATAATCTGACATATTTTTTCCTTTTTTTTCTCCAGTGTGTGCACATTTTTTCAGTTTCTGAAAGAAGTGGATGTTAACATGGATACTATAAGCACTAAAGTTGATAGCACTGTATCAAGACTGAAAAAGAAATACGATGTATTACTTGCACTATACCACAAGTTTGAAAGGTAGTATACACTTTTCGTTTTGAAATTATGAATTCTTTATGGCTGTCAACATTTAAGTATGTAGGTTTTTCAAACAGTGTATTTGAATAGCCCATTTAAACTCTGTGTGCTAATATTTACCAAACAGTGAAATTGAACTGTTTACATGCATTGGATAAACATATCTTACATTTTACTCCATAACTATGATAATGCTTTGTTAAACAATCCTCTTGTTGCGGTACAAACAATAGTAAGAGCAGCATGACAAGGGTTTGCTAGTCCCTTTGATAAGCTTTTTGCAAGTGTAACATTGGTTTACTATCTAGTGTTTTTTGTTCTGCCTGCCTACCCCTCCCCAAATCTCAACCCAAGAGTTTCTTTCTAAGAAGTTCTAGAAAGAAAAAAAAAAAAAAAAAGCTCAAGTGAGATAGTCTCTCTCTCTCAGATCTGGAACTGAAGGCTGTTTGCCAGCATCTAGGGGTGTTGCAGGGCCTGCTCTCTTAGCAGTTCTCACTTGTAATCAAGATAAACCTTTCTAAGAGGTTTTGCTGACCGTACAATAAAAGTCAAGGGGCATTCTCTTTGTACACAGTAAATTGAATGTGCTTACGGCACAGTGCTCCAAGAGCTCTCTGTGTGTGACTTGAAAATCAGGAAGTTCTCAAATGGCTGCTTTCTTTGAGTTGGTGTTACTCTAAGGTGGTAAGTTGCCACACTCTATGCTTTAACATGAAGACAGATGATAAAGGCTTTAGATCCTTTTACAGGCTGTTGTGTGGTAGCATAGGTGCGTATTGGCAAGATCTGATATCCTCTGAGACAATTTTTAATCAGTTTGTGAAATACTGTGTAGCATATATCAGTGGAAAACTTTCATGTTATTAAACATTGAAGTGTCTTTCCATGGTGCTCGTAGTAATTGATCCCACTGCTTCAGAGCGCTGTGGCACTTTTCACCTATAAGAGTTTGAGTCACTGTAACGTTTTGCCTCTCTGACCACAAAAAGCTCTCAAAGATCCCTTAAATGACCCTTGAAAGGGCTAGAAGGTCACCCATTGGTAGTTTATAGAATCAAGACACAAATGTCATACCAGTTTTATTTGTCTTTTCAAAGTCCAGTCCATCACACTTGGCATTAGCTTGGATAATGTGTACATCACAACATTTTTGTAAAGTTTATAGTTGCCTTAAAGGGATAAAGTTCTATGAAAGCTGTAAATAATTTGTTTTCACGCATTGCAGGTCTTTTCGGGGCTATAAAAGTGTCATTGCAGATTTACGTAAGCGTGTTTTTGTCCCTTCTCTAACTCTTCTTCACTTGCTTACTTTTTCAAATCTTGGATTGCAATAACAATATTTTCAAACAGGAGGATTCAAAATTTGTGGTTTTCCCCTGTTTTCATTTTGAATAAACTGAATTTACTTGTTGAAATGACACGTACCTAGAATAATTAGAAGAAACATTTTACCACAAGGCTTGCAGTGACACTGCGGAAAGAATAAAGATTTTTAAAATGCCCTTTTATAGAGTGTTCTGCGCAGCTGTAGCACATACTTTGCTGCGTTTTACAAGCCACTGAGTAACTATGTACGTATTAATCCCGTCTTTCTGTAAAAGAAAACAATAACAAATTTTATTATACCAACTTAAAATTGTTTTACTATGCAAGCTTTGACATAAGCATGCAAGCAACAGCGTTATTTCAGCTCTGGCAGGGCTTTAGTTGTTCTGTTGTTAATCTGCTCTACAAGAGTCAGCATTTTTTAAGTTAGAATAATGTTTTGTGAACTGGTGTATTTTTTACTACATTGAAGTCAAAGGTATTACACAGCTTGCTTTCAGCAAAGTGTTTAAAAATAAGAATTTCTTTTTATTTCCTAGGACTTGTGGCCTTATTTTTCTGGAACAACCTAGTAGTGAGTAAGTTTCACTTTCCTAAATTGTGTTTGTTGAGATAATGTATAAAACATGTCAGCATTTATTTTCTTAACCCATTAAGATTGACCTAAGTCATAGTATGTCATGTGTTTAATTTAGTTTTAGTGGAGACTTTGAATTTGAGTGAGAGATGATGAAAGCCTCAGAAGTGATATATATAATTTGATCGCTTCTTCCATGAAGGATGACCACCCAAGGCATGGTGGAAATGTACATTTGGAGAGTGAACTTCCTAATCACAGCAACAAATGAATGGATTAAAAATGCCTTAGCAACTCCCAAATGAGGCTTGTGTTCATGCTGTGACTGGAGAATAGGGCATTAGTCAAAGGCACAAGAGAGAAAACAGCTCGTAACAGTTAAGTGAATTATCCACATTCACTTTCTTTCCCAAGGCTGATACAGATATTTCCTGATTCTTGAATGGGTTTACAGAGACTTAATATTTTTCAAATGTGTAGTTATAATTACATAGGGGATGGAACAACATTATTAAGAAACTTAACTATGTGGGAAATGTCTTAAATTGTTCCATAGACTGAAGCATGTTTTCAGAGACTATAGTTTAAATTATTGTAGATCTGTTAATGCAAAGACTTTATTTTTATGTCTCTACAGGATTTCTGCTGAACTCAGTTCTGTATTAGTCCTAAAAAATTACTGGATTACTTTTTTGCTGGCAAAAGGTGAGTTTTGTTTAAAAGACAGTTATATTACTGACTGTTTGTTGAAGTGAGTTTGAGTTTGTTTTACGTGTCCAGTATGAGACCAGCATCCTTATTGTGTGGCTTACTACTCAGTAATATATCTTTCTATACAATTTGGCTATTCTTTTAACTTCCATTACTTCCTGAGTACAAAATATGTTTTTTTAGGCTTTATAAGATTTTTTTTTTTTTTTTTACTTTGAAGGTTGATATTCTGTATTTGAGTCTATTCTGAGGTGCTTTATAGTCTGCCAATATTTTATTAATGGATGATTACCTGAAAAGAATAGCAGAATTTTAAAAATAGGCATTTATATATATTACAAATATATTAAATATAAAAATAAATAAATCAAAGAATAAGAAGATAATATTATAAGTCCCTGACATTATGTATACTAGAATTCTTCCTTGAAAAGGCTGAAGTTCCAGTTAAAGCTGAGTGATGAAACAGTTATAGTAGTCCATGGCGTCCTGTCTCATTGTACTGTTCCTACAAAAAGGAATGAATTGTGTATCTTAATTGCTGCTTACTCCAGGTCTGTGTTATCAGCGAAATGTACACATCTCTGCCGTCGAAACTGATCTTCAATCAGTTGAGCTTCATATAAGCTAAAATTTACCAGCAAATAGTTGAAGTCACGGAAGAGCCTGGATGTTTCTTGCTAATTCTGATAGAGAATAAACACAAAAATTGTGTAAAATGTGTAAAAAATGTGTAAATAGACCACAAGCAGTGGTCTGTAGCTGTTCTGAATTGCTATTGGCTTTCCTAATTTTTTGTGGTGATGTGCACCGTCTTGGAATGGCCCTGTAGATATCTTCCCTGGCATATGAATCATAATTTGGGAACAGCTGGAATAATGTAGTCTTAAAAGTGCTCTTCACGCTGATGTTTGTCTGACTTTTAAGTAATTTAATATAAATTTGACGGGCTAAGCATACAGTGTCCTAGCATGTTTTGAATTTCTCTTCAATATATACTAGCAACTCCTGCTTTCTGAATACTTAGCAACTTTCACTAAGCTTGCATAAGACCACAAAAAAGAAAGTGAGGAATAATCACACAGAAATAAGATGTACACGCAGGTAAAATAGTCTACGCAGTTACTCCACTATACTAAAATGAAAAAGAAATCAGGAGGAAGCACTGAGAGGTAGGAATTTTGTGCACAGTTAATTTATTTATATCCATGCTATCTCTAGAGCAACAAACGTCTTAAGAACCATGAGTTTGAAAATCAATAGCCTTAAAAGAACACTGGCATCCTGTATGATGCTTTCTGATTTCTAATTGTAATGTTTTATTAAATGAACTTCCAAATCTTTATTTTTTTCAAAATTACTTTTAAAATTAAGTCAAACATCTCACAAAGGTTTTCTTTACCTTTTTAAACATTTGCAGGGAAAGTGTTGCAAGTGGAAGATGACCTCGTGATTTCTTTCCAGTTGTTGCTCTGTGTCTTAGATTATTTTATCAAACTGTCACCTCCTGCTATGCTCAAGGAACCATACAGTAAGGATTTTATTTTTTTGTTCACTAAAGTAGAAAGTAAACTGGTTAAATATCTATTAGAGTCATGCTAACATTCATAATTAACATAATGAAACTTCTTAAGCTTATTAAAATGGATTTTTTGATGGTTTAGTTCAATTTAGATGATAGTGAACTTGAATTAAATTATCTGAATGTGGCAGTGTATTTAATATAATTATTTTTTTTTCTATTCCTACCATCTACTTGCTGTGTCCTCTGCACATATGAATTATGCAGGGTAAAACAGCAGCACTTTAGTAAAAGAATTCAGGTTCTGGGTAGATGATGACTGAGAGCTGTTATTGAGGTTTGTTTTGAGTTACAAAAGGAAAAGATGGTGCTATAACTCTGTTATTTCATTAATATATAACAGTATGATGACAACAGGAATGTACCAGATACTGGACTATACAGACATTTAGAGGAAATATATGGTGAGCAGCAAACATTACTGCAGCAGTAGCTCAAAATCAAATGGTAGAGCTAAAGCATAGATTGCTTTGCTTTTATTATTCCCCTTTGTTATTTGCAAGTGTCTCTAAGTAAAAATGTAATGGGTCTTCACTATAGAAACTTGCGTTTAGTGGTCACTTTTTGTACTTTCAGTTTCTATCCTTAAAACCTGCAAAGCCTCACTAAAAAGGCAGAGAAAGTAAGCATTTATGGTAACTTTCAAAGATAGAGTTCTGGTTTTGTGGAATATTTTCTTCTGCAAGCTATGACATTGATATACTATGTGTTTGGAGCCACAGTATGTAGAAAACAATTTTTTTAATACTAATAAGTTTATCCTCTGCTGAGTTTGGATGCAACACTAGTATTTATAGCCTAAATCTACTTGCTTTATTTCTTTGTTTCACAACTAATTATCCACTTGGGTTATAATGTCCTAAGTAGATAATGTATTCACTTCTATATTCTTCATATTCCATTTTTTGGAAGATATTTGTCTGACCTAGTTATTATTTGCCGCAGGTAAGAGCAAATAACCTTGCCTTTATTCTAATGCTAATACAGATAAAGGGTGGGAAAGGATGGGCTTGTGGCTAGCAAATCCCTGCCTTCCTCCAGTACTATTTTGAATTTAAATTTGCCCTTCATAGTAAGACAGACATATGCTACTGCTTATTTCAGATGTTATAAAGCAGATCTTATTCAAAGAACACTGATTTGAAACTACCTGTTTTTGAACTCTGTCCACACTGATTTTTTTAGTGAAACTATGAAGACTAGGAGCTCATTATTAGACAGTTTGGTTTTGTGGATTGTATCTTGAACAGAAATGCTGCCATTTCAGACTAAATTGCAAATATGGGTGTCACTGTCATAAACACAAAGATTTCTGACATGAAGTTGTGTGCTATGTGCAGGTGCTGTGTAAACTGTCAAACAGCACTTCATTCTTTTAGCAAATAACACAAAGCATTGTTAAGTTCCTCGTGACTGAGAAGCTTCACATTGTGCTGAATGATGCCAAGCTTTATGATCTGACTCAGGCTGAGGGGATTAAGATTCAACCACCCGAGCAGTGTAGTTTGTCAGATTTTCTCAGAGCAGTTATCAAATACAAATAACATTACAAATGAGAACAGCATGCTGATTAAAGTGTCATTTTTAAATCAACAATATTTAATGATATTCATGTATTTTATTAACATAGTTCACATATTTCAAGATGACAATACTGAAGCCATCTACTTTGAGCTTAACAAAGTGAAAGATTTTTACCTCACTGAATTAAGACTTTTTAAATGTCTTCTCCAAGGTGAATTTGTTTTTTCCGGCTTGTTAGCCTGGGGGTATTAGGGAAAAGGAGGAATTCCCTGCAGAGTCATATTCCAGGTTCCCACCAGCACTGACTTTATTAACCTTCAGACACATAGAGTGAAGTAACTCTTTCAGCTCTTTGTTTTACACTTTAGTTAAAATAGAACAGAGAGTTCCTTATCTGTGAAAAGATAAGGCTTTCCTATATTTGCAAAACAAATGCTTATTCAAAGCTACTTACAAGAAATGTTATAACATTCTGTGTTTTGAATAGCATTTTGAAAACAAAATGTCCAAATATTGATGTCGGAATTTAAAAATTCATTTTCTTTTTGCATAGATTTTCTGTAGTGAAGGCTTCTTACCCAGCTGAACAGATGAAAAGGGAAATACTTAAGAAGACAACCTGAAAAATAGTATAGAAATCTGAATCTCTTAGGTTTAAAAATTTAGAACTCTTCTCTCTTAAGATGACTGTAACCTTGTGATGGTTCTGACTCCCTTTCCAGAGTCTGCTGTGACTGCAGTGACTGTTAATGGTTCAGCTCGAACACCAAGAAGAGGTCAGAACAGGAGTACACGCACTTCAAAGCAAATTGATACCGATACAAAAGTTATTGAAATCCTTTGTAAAGAGCATGACTGTAATTTGGATGAGGTAATGCCCATGTTTTAAAATCTGTTAGATCTTGTTGCTAAAACCCACCTGGAATGTGCATTTATTTAAACGGTCCTTTTAAATCTCAGTATTTGTGCCTGCTTAATTATTATCTCAAGTTCAGTAGTGAATGTATTCTAACATTCTGTAATTTAATTCTGTAATTTCTCTAGTAAGTAGTTTAAAAAAAACAAAAATAACCAAAACCTGAGCCCTTTGGTATGGATGATAGCTTTGTGATGGAAACTGAACTGTGAAGAATGCAGTACAAAGTTACAGGCTGCTCACAGCATGTTGTGTGCGCATACAGGGCTGCTCTGATGGGCTTTCACAGCTGCATTCCATGATGAGAAAATGTACACAACAATCGCATTGCTGCTGTGTGGGTTTTTAAAGACCCCATTGTGATATTTTGAATGTTCAAGCAGATGATGAAAGCAGGATTTATAAGAGGGCTGGGAAGAGTGCAGTTCTTCCCCAGTTTAGACATTTAATGTTTCAGCAGTGGATTATACACTGCATGCTTATGTATCACTGTATTTTGGATTTGTAAGCAATGTCATTTTTGCTTTATTGAAAATAAAACACAGTGCATTACAGAAGTGTCTCATTTAGTTTCCTGGTTTAAAGACGTGAATGCAATGTATGCATGGCTGCCTCTGTACATTGCTAATGTTACATTTTTTCTCTTTTTTAGGTCAAAAATGTGTATTTGACAAGCTTTATTCCTTTCTTGAATTCTATTGGTGTTGCAGCCTCCAATGGACTACCGGAGGTAACTGAAGAAATTTAAGACAGTTTAACAACAGTGTTTTACTTCATGCCAAACTGATGAAGTTCTAATAGGTTCTTCTAAAATCATCTAGTAAAATGCATTGTTCTTCAGGAATGTGGCTTAGCAGGGTTCCAGTATTCGTAGAGTATATTTAGCTTTTACATTTGAATTTAATAAAGGCTGAACCAGTGCTTTTGCTCAAAACAACATGATGTAAGAACTACTTGACACAACTATGACATTAGTGAGGCCATTAATCTAAAATACAACTATTGCAATATCAGGTCTCTGAAATCAGTTTGTAAATACATACAGTCTTAAATTACACAATTTAAATATAATTGAGACATGTTACTGTAGTCATGTTGAAGAGATACCCAAAAGATTAGACTCAGTTTTACGATTGGCAGAGTTTGGACTGCTGCATCCATGCAAACTCACTTTTATCTTGCTGACTTGTAGCCTGGGTGCAGCAGACTACCTCTATGCAATCGCATGCAAGATTGCACCTTAGTAGGTAACTTCTTGCAACATATTTACGTCCGTCATTCTTAAAAGAGTAAGTTTAGCTCACCAATAGATACCGTGATCTGAAAATAAGCAGCTCTGAAGCTTACCAGACTGAAGGTCTGCAAGATTCAGCCAAAGATATATTCTGTTCAGTTTCAGAATGTGTTGGGTGGAGGACAAAATACAAGACCCACTAGAAATCTTAATATCTTCCAAAATTAGTTTCAGGGTATCAGCAGTCTGTCTAGACTTTTTAACTTGTTTGTGTATATACAGTTGGGAAGCTCTGTATGAACTTGCAGGGAAAGATCATTATTCAGCTTACTCTCAAATCACTGAGGGTTCTCATCCAAGGCTGATCAATTTAAGCATAGTATCAAAATTACTAGTCTAACACTCTGCTGGTGAAAATTGTATAAAATGATGCATTTGAAGAAAAATCCAGTCACGTGATCCTTGCTCCTGAAAATTGAGTGCCTGAGGGGATGTTCTAAAACAAAGCAGAAAGTTACAGCAATATTTCAGAGGTAGTCAGTTCATATATGTAATCCAAATAACCATCAGTCATAGCTGAGATCATCAGTACAATAGCTAGTAATATGGGACATTTAAAATTACTTTCATTTTCATAAAGAAACCACAGGGCTTTTGATATATTTTAGTTTCCAAAACAAAAAAAGCTTTTGAAACTTAATGTTGGTATTTCATTTGTCTTAACTGTGCATTTGATGGTCAGGCTTTATGAACTGGTGAACAGATAGATTCAGAACTCTTATTTTTGGCTGAATATTTCTTTCCAGTTAGCCCAGTATAGCCATTTTGTTTAAGAGCTGCTGTTTTTTTGCAGTGAGAATCTGAATTTTTCAGATGTTTATGAAATACTGAAATATTTTAGACAAGAAGTATGCATAAGCCCTTAGGAAGATCATGAAGAAAGAGGGAAAGATTTAAAAGCCTGGAAATGTTAGTTTGATTTCCAGGTTGATGTCTCCCACTCTAGCTATTTTTAGCTCTTTTACAGTGTCAAGACCTACATTTCTTCAAAAAAAGTCTCATGATCTTGGATTGTTTTCTCTTATAAAAGATTATCTTTGTTTGTGTGTGGGAATGATAATTTTCCCCTGGGTATGTTTGTTTCAGCTGTTGTGTGAGAAGTGGCTTTGTGAGCTCCAAGGTCATTCTTTTAGCATTTCAGCATTGTATTCATGAGGTAGGACTAGCTTATATTATTCAGTCAATTGTCAGACTTGTTCCTATGAAATAAAGGGGGTTTTTAAATTTTTTTTTGAGGTTGAAGTTCTCTCAAAACAGTATGATGAGCTGTATCTCAAAAATAAAGATATAGATGCAAGATTATTTCTGGATCATGATGCAACTCTACAGCCTGATGTCATAGCATGGTAATATTTCAATTTATTGCTTTCATTTTATAATAAAATACATGAGTTTGTGTTGTTTTTCATCCCACAGTGCTATAAATGGAGATCTTGGTATGCTGTTGACCTCTTAAGTTTGTAGATCAGCTAAGGTGTTTCTGGCATCATCAGCCTTCTTTACCTTAATAATTAGAAAACATATGACTGTGACTCTACCTAAAATGATTTGGAAGCTCTACTCTAATTCTTACTCTGTACAAGCCCCTGTCACCTAGGGGAAGCTGGGGAATAGTGAAGAGGAGGAGAAGGCTTAGGCCATGTCATAGTTGATCAGATGTGCCTGAGGCAGGGTTATGGCTCTTGGGCCAGCTGGAATGGAATGGCTTGGGCCCGCACTGTCCAGGTCCTTCTTCCTAAAACCAGATGGTGGCATTTGGAAACTGCCTTCTGGGAGTGGTCCTCAGTTCATTCCGACTCTGATCTGTATCCACAGATTGTTTGGGGAATGGTAGTTTACACAGGACAGAAATGTGCCACAGATGGTTTAGCAGAATAAGCAGTTGAGTACCAGTGACAGGGCACATTCCCTGATGCTGTTCAGTAATACAGATGTCATGGATCTATTGAGCAGGCCCAGAGAAGGAGCGTGAAGATGATCAGAGGACTGGAGCACCTCTCCTGTGGAGACAGGCTGAGGTTCTTTAGCCAGGAGAAGAGAAGGCTCCGGGGAGACCTTATTGTGGCCTTTCAATACTTAAAGGAGGCCTATAAGAAAGATGGGAACAAACTTTTTAGCAGGGCCTGTTGCAGGAGGCAAGGCGTAATGGTTTTAAACTAAAAGAGGATAGGTTTAAGTTGGGCATAAAGAACAGGTTGCTCAGTGTGGTGATAGATACCCCATCACTGGAGACATTCAACGCTGGGTTAGATGGGGCTCTGAGCAACCTGATGTCATTGAAGATGGGCCCTACTCATTGCAGGGATGTTGGACTAGATGACCTTTAAAGGTCCCTTCCAACCCAAACTATTCTATGATTCTATTTGATTTTTTTCTTGTCACACACTTAAATTCCATTGATTCCTGACAATTCAGTATTTCCATAACTTGGACTAGGCTTATGATGTGAGTCTGCGACTTTTATCTGAGCTAGCAAAATGCAGTCATTTAAAATTGGATTAAAATAGAGCTAACACCAGCTGTACCTATAAATTAAGCTATTTATAAATAGAATTCTAGGGATGGGAAAAGAAGATGAAAGGGAACTTTGGAGGTCATCTAATCCAACATCCTGCTCAAAGCAAATCCACCTTGGAATTTAAATTGCATAGTTCTAACAACTGGAGTGGTTGGACATCTATATCTTCTAAAAACCTGTTCTACTGTTTTCAGATTGACAAGTCCTTATACAAAGCATTTTTTAAAATTACATTAGTTCTTCATAAATTTGTTTTCCATTTCTGTAGCTCACAGTTGGAGAGGACACCAGTAAAAAACAATCCAGATGAGGAACTTAATCTTATGCTTCCACAGACTCCTGTTCGGTATGAGTTTTTCTTTTAAGCTGTGTTCTTTTGTTTAATATTCTAACTAGAAATAGTCATCTTTAGAGTAGGTTCTTAATTTGAAACTAACTGTTTTTCTTGTTTATGGTGTGGTGTTTTTGTTGTTTTGGTTTTTTTGTTTTGTTTTCTGTCATAAAACAGACTGTAGTTCTGGTCACTAATGAGCAGCGAGCATGTCCTGAAGGGTGCTGAGTGCCCTCAGTTCCTGGTGAAGTTGTTGGAAAACAGAGAAAGCTTTTTACTGAATTATCTAAGAAGTGCAGCATGTCTGTGAAATAACTTGCTCTGTTTGTTCTTGTGAGAATGCAACTTTATACTTCCATGGTAGTACTTTTGTGTGCTATACTTTTATCTTTCTTTGTCATGTTTTCTCCATCTCTGTATCTTCTGGCTTCCTTTCCTGATACCGGATTTTATACGCACACACATTTCTTCTCCTGTGGTCTTTTTCTTCTTAGTAATGTTTTTTCAGTATGGGAAGATTAACATTTCAGAGTACCAACATATTTTGGTTTATCAGGAAAACAGATATGGTAGAAATGTTGTTTTAATTGGAGATTGTTTGCTTTACAATCATATGCAGGAAAGCTGCGAGCTTGAATTCAGTTAACCAAAGGAAAGGAGATTTGGATGTACCATTTTTCCCTTGTGCCACATAGTTTGGTGTTTTTTGGTTGTTGGTGTTTTGTGTTTGGGGTTTTTTGTTTGTTTTTAGGCTTTTTAGGGTTGTATTTTTTTTCTTTTTTGACAAAATCAGTATGTTTTAGCTTGATGGTGCTTAGAAATTCCTGGGTGCTCAAGAACTAACCAGCTGTGTCACTGCAATACCATGTGCTATGTGGACAGAGAAGTGTTTGCACAGGCAGTTATTCTTAAGGTGTCAGATTTAATAAAATTGGACAGTGAAGTTCTTGTTCCATGTTTGCTGTATAAATGCCTTTCATTCTAGCATACTGTAGAGATGAGAGAGGTCAAAATATTGTAGCCTTAATTATTACTTTGGTTTTCTAAGACAAGTAAAATTATTTTTGTTTTTACTTACAGTACTTCTACAATGTTTATATGCTTGTGGAAGAATAAATTGGACTCTGGGCTTGTGCATCCACTATAAATCTACTTAATGCTATCTGCAGAAACTAATTGTTTTCTAGCCAACAGAGCAGTAAGGTTCTGAAAAGCTTCTTCATGAAAATAATAAAAGCAGACATGCAGCTGAGAGAGATATTGATCAGTTTAAGAAAGAACTTTTAATCATCTGTGACTGTGAAAGGCTTAATTTGATTTGCCTTCGTGATTCCATTTAGTCTTATGCTTCAAGTCTGTAACTTCCAATGATGCTTTTTTAGCCATAAAGGCATAATTTTGTCTTTCAGTTACCAGACCGAATGTGTGATACTAAATCCTATTTTTGACAAATATATATAGCTGTTGACACTTCAATTACACTAGAATTAAAACCCTCTAACACTGAAAAATGCTTCATTAAAGTTCTTGAAGTAGAAGTTTTATTAAGAAAGTCCAGGAATACCAAGTTTCTGCAGTGCTGAACCAACTTTAATATTGAGAGGAGGTCTAGTGAGTCTAGAGTCTCTCCATCCACAGTCAGACTTTTGTCTGAGTTTTCCAAAACTGATGCTCTTTAAGGCAGTTCAAGTGAAGGCTTATTCACCAGCAGTAATTTGGGTTGTAGTAACTGTTTTTCCTAAAGCCACAGAAGTGTCACTAGATGGCAGTAAACCTTTGGTCACCAGCATGGAGTGAAAAGTGTATCATTAGCTCTCTCTGCATTAAGTAGAACTCCTTACAGGTTATGCTTTTGAAAGCACCATATTTATTAATTTGAATCTTCTTATAATGACTTCTTTCTGGACCCAGACACTTAGGATCTGCTCTAAAGCTCTCAGAAATTGATGAGAATCTTAATAATTTTCACCAGTGGATCTGTAGAATAAGGATTACAGAAATTGTAGCCTTTCTATTTGAAATAGAAGGAATAAGGGTTAAAGTAAAAGTTTAAATTTTAATCTGACTTTTGGGTTCAGATCCAGGGAGGGAAAAGACTATTCTCTTGCCATTGCCAGTAGGAATGTTGACAGCTCTGCCTCTGAAAAATGTGGGTTTTCAAAGCACATGTATTTAAAAGGCTGTATCTTCTTGTGACTGCCATATTTTAATACATCTTACTTATTACACTTGTGAACAGGTGACTTGGAACATAAAAACAGTCTTCATTCACCACTCTTTTATATTATTTCTGTACAAAAGTCAGAGTAGTTTTGTTAGGGAGTTGCTTGATTTAAATGAATATTTTTACATACAAGGATTGCAATTCCACCACTTTATTGCTGTTAAAAGTAATTCACAGAATCACAGAATCGCTCGGTT